CAAAGAACTACCCATAATCCTTTCATAGAACAGCCTACAGTCTTTCCCCCAAAATCTTAAGTAACAAGCAATGATTAAAGTTTTAACTGCACATGTTCCTTCAGGATTTGGAATTATGGACTAAAATGCCAAGCTTCTGGTGAGAGGAAGTTATTGCCAATGGAGGGAACGATATGGTGGGTCTACATGTGGGTGGATGCTATAGTTTTTGTAACCCCAGAAATTTTTTCATATTAAAAATACTGGGTATATAGCCTTTAAAAGGAATGAAGCACGTATATATGCTACAACATGGATGAAGCTTAAATACAGGCTAAGTGAAAGAAGCCAGACACAAAAAGACACATACTGTATGATTCCATTTGTAAGAAAACATCCAGAATAGTTAAATTCATAGAAAGAGAAAGCAGATTACTGGTTGTCTAGGGTATAGGGAGTGGAGAATGGGGAGTGATATGAGGTTTTATTGTAAAGTGATGAAAATGTTTTACAATTAAATAGAGTGGTTGCCTCTGTTTTTCACTTTAATATGGTTAATTTTCTGTTACGTGAATTTCACTTCAGTATGAACAAAGAATAATCAGAGACCTCTAGGCTAAGCAAACTCTGGAGTAGACAACTCACTTCTTTATGATATAGCATTAAATCATATTCTGGTTCAATTCCTAGCCAAAAAAACTATGATCTATTTTTTTTATGACCCTGGACAGAAGCTGTCTTCTACTACTCTACCTTTTAGACCTTGATAAGAAGTCTTCCAGAACTAGAGGTCATAAAATTTTTTTAATTCACTTTTTTTTTTACTACTAGTGTAAAAATAATTATGCCAAAATTCATAGTAAAGTAATACCTAGAATAAAAACTTTACCTCCCACTCTCCTAAAATAAGTTGCCTACTTGGATTTTCCTATTAAAAAAAAGACAAATGAGATAATAAAGTGAAAATGCTCTAACTTGGAAGCATCTTTCACATGCAAGTCATTATTGTTAGTGTACATAATGATACTCATAAAAAAGACAGCATCAAGTAAAATACTGCCATGATGCAGTGTGTGCTTTAGAAAAACACAACATGGCAGTAATAACTAACCAAAGAAATGGTGGTCTATTATAATGTTCAGTCAACAGACAGTAATTACGAAGCAAATGTCAAGAGCTGCAGTTCTGATGTGATAATAACCAGCTAGGACAGACCAGAAGAACGTGCTTGTAGGAGATAAGCCTTCCTCTTCCTGCAGTGAGCACCTCAAGGTTGTTGCCTCAGGGAGTCTGGATTGCCCCAGGGGCCCTGTGCGACGGAAAACTTATCAAAGGAAGAACGGAAAGCTCTCAGACTGTGGCCTGGGTCAGGGTGTCTATTGAGCACCAGGGGAAGGATGAAAGCTAAGGCGATCACCAAGCCTAGTTGAAGCCCACCACCATCCTTCAGAATCCAGTCGCTACTGCTCCCTGGGGAGGCAGGCCCAGGAGGCTCCAACTGTGTGGGCTGAGGTTGGGCAGGGGACTGCCCATCTTTAGATGTGCCCCATTCACAGCACTGACTCCTAGATTCTCTTGCTCTGCACCCTGTAGGGTAGACTCTGCACGGGGAACTAGTGCTTCCATTCCAAATGGCAGCTGGGCTCCCGACACCTCTGTGACTGAGAAGTGGTGAGCCAGGCTGTAGCAGTGACGACAGGGACAAGCCCAGGAGAGAGCGGGCAGGGCTGATCTCTGGCCATGCTGGCCAGTAACCCCTTCCGTGACCTCGCAGCAACACCTCCTCCTTTGTGTGGCTATCTGTAAAATGGGGAGGTAGCCCCACTCAGCCCCACCTGCCTCAAAGTTCCTGTTGGAAAAGAGAATAAAAGTGGGGGTGAAGGGGAAAACAGTGAAAAGCAGACTGAAAGCAAAGCCATCAGCACTTCGTAAACTCCACCGTGCATACCATGCCACCAAGTCCTTGGATGTTAAGAGTTCACACAAAAGAAGAGAAGCTTTGGGAAATGATTTAGTTGGCTTGATTATTTGTGCCTTCACTCATTTATTCAACAAATATTTAGTGAACACCAACTGAAGCTCCAATACTTTGGCCACCTGATGCAAGGAGCTGACATATTGGAAAAGAACTTGATGCTAGGATAGATTGAAGGCAGGAGGAGAAGGGGTTGATAGAGGATGAGATGGCTGAATGGCATCACCAACTCAATGGACATGAGTTTGAGCAAGCTCCGAGAGTTGGTAATGGACAGAGAAGCGTGGCATATTGCAGTCATGGGGTCGCAAAGAGTCAGACATGACTGAGCGACTAACTGAACTGAACTAAATAAACGGAGCTGTCGCGGGGGGCTTCCCTGGTGGCTCAGACGGTAAAGAATCTCCTGTGGTGCTGCCTGCCAGTCAAAATTTTCCTGCACCCCTTCCTGTCCTGCCCACTCTTCTCCCAAAGCCAGATGCAAGAGCTACTGAGTAAGCAAGGGGAACGTATCTAACCCCAGCCCCTTCTCCCTCCAACAGGCCCTTGCTGAAAGTAGGAGAGTGGGTGTAAGTAGAAATAAAGTTGGAAGTTGGGAGCTTTGACTGTGACATGATACTAGACATTTTCAGTATTTGGCACATTACACTGAAACTTTTTATTATGTAAGAGTAACTGGAATAGTCATGAGATGTTTTCATCCAGAAACAGGGGAGATGCTTTCCGCTGAATACATTTTAATGGAGGGTAGGAGACTAGATAAAGTCGGTTTTTGATAGTACCCCATGAAACCTACTTGTTGCAGGCACATTACACATGAAACCACTTTGTGGCAGCAGATCTCACGGCAAATTTATACTTTCCACAAAATAAGTCCACTGTGTCCCAACTTGGACATGAAGATTGCTATGGGTTCTGGGTTCCCCTTTGAACACCCTACATCCTTGGTGGGCCCATAAAGAGTCTGCAGAAGCTACAGCAACAAAGGCTACTGATCTGCTGCCCATCTCCTTACACCCTTCTCCTCTTCTAAACACACATGTGGGTCAGGAAGGGATGTCTGATACCAGGAGCCACCACCATGCTCAGTGCTAATCCGCGTAAAATAGGCCCTGACTGAGTTCCCAACTTGGAGCCTCACCAGTCTTCTCCTGAGACATCACTCTAATAGGATTCCTTCCACTGAGACCGAGTTGTGAAGCCAGAGCCTCAACTCACCCCCAGCAGCAAACCAAGGGTATCAGCCCAAGATGGCAGCCTATCTAACTCCCTCCCATTCATTCTCCCTGTGTCTTTTGGGTCACGAGAAGGATATCATAGAATGCAGAGCAGTAAAACATGAAACAGAGCTCATCTTCAATAAACTGGCACTTTGGTCAAGCAAATGTGCAAAGTCAACAGTTTCAGCATCATTATCTGTTGTGTAAGTTTTAGCAAATCGACACACACAGGCCGAGTCTTTAGGTTATTGGAAATACTGCTACCAAATAAATGCTATACAATATATATATATGCCCTACATTGATAAGAGCTCATTTAAAATCAAGACAACTTTAAAAGGTGTTTCTGGGTCTGCATCCACTAAGTTTCAAGCTCCATGAAGGCAGAGACTATGTCTCATTTGCTTTTGTGTCCCTTAGGGTTGAGCATAGAATATGGTACATAGAGAGTTCAATAAAGTCCTAAGGCTGATAAGTGAATGAACAAACAAATGAATATCCTGGCTTCCATTTCAAGATAGATGTATGTTAACAGTGTAATTGAATAAATATGTTTTTAAAAAGGGACAGACCAGCTATCCATCATTTTTGACTACTCCATTCTCTCTACTAATTTTAATGTGTGTATTTGAATCTTATAATTGAATAGTGTTACTCTGTATAAAAGATATTTCTGAGACTTTTCTGGTGGTCCAGTGGCTAAGACTCTGTGCTCCCAATGCAAGGGACCCGGGGTTCAATCCCTGCTCACGGTACTAGATTCCACAGGCTACAACTAAGAGTTCACATGCTGCAACTAAAGATTTGCATGCCACAACTAAGACTTGGTGCAGTCAAATAAACAAGTATTTTTTAAAAAATGTTCTGAGGCTACTCTTTCAACAGGCCCCCAAGACCAGATCAACTGGCCATTCACCCTCACTAGGCAACAGCAAAGATCCGTCATGGTATATGACTCCATCTAAGGTAATCCATGTTTTGGGTCTCTCAAAGGAAAAGATACACTGAAAAGAACTGACTTTCATCTTTCTTGTGGAAGGATCTTGGGGACGAGCAGAAAAAGGAAAGGTTCGCTAGCAGATGGTGGGGAGGCATCAGGCACCAAAGAAGAAAAGTCACAAGCTTTGGAGTTGGACAGGTCTACAGTCAGTCACACCTTGGCTCTGCTGGGCCTCAGCTTCTCCATCTGTACAGTGGAAACCATAAGGCCCACTTCAAGAACCACTGTGTGGAGAACAAAGGAACGTATATGGAGGCTCTGATTATAGTATCTGGCATACAATACAGGCTCAAACAAAAGTTCTACTACTATTATCTACACATAAACTAAATTACATACACCTACCTGCATATTTAAAGATGATTTTATGTATGAGTGTCCACAACTCTTAAAGGATCTGAGATCCAAGACTCAGCTGTTTGGAACTTGGAATGCATTCTCTCATAGGAACAATGCTATAAATCACAGAATTTCAGAATTAGAAGGGGCCTCAAAGCTTGTCTAGTGATGTAATAAAACTTCCCACTAAATTGAGTTTCTCCTAACATAGTCTCCCTGGGGTTTAAGTTTCAGGTAAATCCATCAAAACTTACATGATATATAATATAGCTGAAATACTACATGTAAGCACACAAAAAATAGCAGAATATGATTTTCAAGTGTTGAGCAGTAGTTTATCTTCACATGTTCTTCTAACCATAGTTAAGATTATCTTCCTACTTGGAAACTCATCCATGTAGAAAGCAGGGAGACAGCTTCTTATTTCTTATAACCCACTCTGCCCCTCCCCACACCCAACAACTACCATAGTAAACTTACAGTTAACATGAGACAGGAACTTATCTGCAGCGTGAACAAAATGCAGCAGACCCACAGAGACAGACAGACAATTGGGGGAGGAGAGGGGGGTGTCAACAGGAATGATAGGTGGGTGTGGAGCAGGGCACAGGAAAGAAGATCTTGGTTACCAAGTTCACCTCCTTTATCATTTTGCCCAGCAACAGCCCTATTTCACCTGGTGCACACAAATTAAAACTATCTGTGGAGGTCATCTGAGACCCTGATGGGTCACCATGCATATGCAGTATTTCAGGGGTTATCTGTCAACCTCAGTCTGACCCCTGGCTATGCCCACTCTGACTTCATGCAGTAGGCAGCAAAAAAGCACAGAGCGCTCTGGGATATTCCACGCTGTTTGTCTTTGGATTGGCAGAGAATGGCTGTTTATACTTACAGGATGTTCACAAGCTAAGTGTATTTAGCTTGGCGAGTGTCTATAATGTTGCCTCCAATATGGAAAATTCAGCAGAAACTGCAGAAATGACCAAGGGAATCTGGTTTTGCATAAAAGCTCTAAGCACTACTCAGACAACATGGGACAACAATTATGATACAATGCTAAATGAAACAAAAGTTGTTTTATGAAAATGTATATATGGCATGATTTCAATTTTGAAGTACATGCACATGCTATATTTTAATACATTCTTACATATCTATGAAGGAAAAAGACTCCAAAACATGAATAATTATTTTGTCTGTGTTATGGAAATACAGAGTGTGTTTATGTATGCACACATGTATGTGTACGACTTCATTTATTTATAATTTTCTATAAAGTCTGGTTAAATGAATAACTATCAAAAGAGGTAAAATGGAATTTAGAAACTCTAATCAGAGATTTTAAAGCTAAAAGGATCCTTAGAAATTACCCAATCCAATACTTCCTCCAACTCTTCTTAATTATATAGGAAGAACACCTCTGGCCCCACAGGTGACTTATGTGCCTAAAGTCCTCCAACTAGTGGAGAACTAGCTAAACTGTGGCTTGAACTCAGATCCTATGACATTTATGGCCTGTGCCACTCCCGTGAGATCATGGTGTGTCCTACAGTCAGGGACTAATGAACTTCAGAAGGAAATACTCCATAAAGAAGGAGCAAGTCTGACTGTACACACCTAACTTCTCACTAAATAAATATTTGCCAAGAGTCATATCATAATTTTATGACCTGCAAACAATTCGATTGCTACAGGACCAATGGTGACTTCATAGGGGCTACTGCACCAGAGTCCTGGTTTCAACATTTTTACTCCTGTGTTGCAGAGAAGTTTACCTTCAGAGACTTTCAAGATGAAAATACATCGAAAGGCACCTCTGTCCTTAGGTTACCCATCTAGGTGTCCTAAGTGACGATGGAGAAACAATGGCTTATATGTGGTCTTCCACTGTTGCTTAACGTCATATACAACTGCCACTTAACTTCCATTCCACCATATCACACTGTATGAGAACTACTTAACATTTATGCACCTCCCAAACACGTAGAAAAAACAGATCAAAAAGCCTCTTTAGTAGCTCTCACTTTAAGTACTTCCTATTTATAAACATGAAGCCTTGTTAGGTGCAAAGTGCCATCTAAATCTGACAAAAAGCACAGTTTCAACCTCTTTCATTTCTACAGGGAGAAAATTTAGACATTTGATACAAACACAGGTAGAGAGCAGCCCTGGGCCTCATAGAAACGGTTTCCTATTCTGTCCTGCTTATCTTGAGCTGGTTGGGCTGGGGAAGCTTTTCGGGCAAGGGGTGGGGAGGTGGCCCCCAAGGACATGGTAGCAGAGTTCTGGCCACAGCTGGCAAGTCAAAGAACTGTTTTTTCAGATAAGCAGAGAGACTCTAACCCTGGTCACAGGTACAGCAGCTAGCTCGTTTCCTGTCCAGTGTGCTAACCAGAAACATAATAGGGAACTCAATATATACTTATGGCGGGTAAAGAGCATGCAGGAATCTGAACAATACACCAGTTGCCTGGGTTAAGCAGTAATTAACTTAGACTCAGAACCTGAAGTTAGCTGTGTACATCATATGAAAGAAGGCAAAGCCTAGAGGACACACAGGCACAGCAGAGCAGCACCTAAGATGGGCCACAAAAATGTGAAAATGCTGATACTGTAAGACTTTACAGCAGAAGAATCCAAGGAGAAATACAGGTAAGAGCTGGCTGAAACACACTGCAACCTGAGATATTTCAGGTTGCAAAATATTCCTCCCACCAAAATTATTTCAGTACTGAGGGAAGCCCTAGAAAGAGACTAAAATTCATATGTTTAACTATGGGTGCCAAATGTACAGGACAGAATGTAATGGGCTAAAGTGATCTCTTCTCTTTATTTTGTATTAAAAAAAAACACATCTAAAATGGAACAAGGGTATTACCAAAGTACCACTTAATCAGACTCCCAATTCTGAGAATTTCAATGAACCTATCTACAAAACAGAAACAGACTCGTGGATATAGACTTGTGGTTGCCAAGAGGGAGGGGGCCTGAGGAGGGGTGGAGGAGTCGTCTGGGGTTGGCAGATGTAAGATATTACACACAGAATGGATAAACAACAAGGTCCTACTGCGTAACACAGGGAACTATACTCAATATTCTATGATAAACCATAATGGAAAAGAATATAAAAATGTATATATATACACATAAATACATGGCTGAATCACTTTGCTGTATAGCAAAAATTGAACACTGTAATTCAACTAAACTTCAATAAAAAAATAAGTCAACCCTGAGAATCTAAGTCAAGAAGACAAATGGAGCAAAAGGTTAGGTTGTATGAAGATGCGTAATCCACTGTATTCTATAAGAGCAGATTCAAAAAACACTAGATCCTATTTGATGACTAATGATGGGGAAAATCAGACAAGAGTAAATTAAGACACATGAAATCATCTCAACCACTTTAAAAATGATGACATGAAGATACAAATGAGAAACAATATGAAGTTTAAAATTCAAAGTTAAACATTCATTATGGCTACAACTAAATCAAAATACTATAGAGGTGTCAGGCAGAGGAAGGTCAAGGAACAGGACAAGATGGTTCATGGTAGACTGGATGGGGGACAGAGGTGCTGTAGGCAAGTACCCCTTGGGTAAAGCCATGGAAAACTTTTTGGAGTGGTGAAGCAGAGGCTCCAATCTCATCCAGAAATCCCAATGGATGGGCTTGAGCCCTAAACAAACAAACAAAAAAAACATTGGTCTTCCTAAGATTAAAGGTGGCCCAAGTACAGTGCTTCATTACTCTTGGATGTGAGGGTTAAGAAAAGGATGGGCTGATATCCTTGTGGATGTGTCTGGTGGTAAATGCAATGTCCGAGGCTGTAAAGAACAGTATTACATAGGAACCTGTAATGTTAGGTCCATGAATCAAGGTAAATTGGAAGTGGTCAAAAAGGAGATGGCAAGAGTAAACATTGACAACTAAGGAATCAGTGAACTAAAATGGACAGGAAAGGGCGAATTTCATGCAAATGACCATTATATCTACCTGCAGGCAAGAATCCCATAGAAGAAATGGAATGGCTCTCATAGTCAACAAGAGTCAGAAATGCAGAACTCTGGTGCAATCTCAAAAATGACAGAATGACCTCAGTTCATTTCAAAGGCAAACCATTCAACATCACAGTAATCCAAGTCTATGCCCCAACCACTGATGCCAAAGAAGCTTAAGTTGATCAGTTCTATGAAGACCTACAAGACCTTCTAGAACTAAGAGCAAAAAAAAAAAAGTCCTTTTCATCATAGGGGACTGGAATGCAAAAAGAAGAATTCAAGAGATCCCAGAATAACAGGCAAGTTTGGCCTTGGAGTACAAAATGAAGCAGGGCACAGGCTAACAGAGTTTTGTCAAGAGAACACACTGGTCATAGAAAACACCCTTTTCCAACAACCCAAGAGATGACTCTACACATGGATATCACCAGATGGTCAATATTGAAGTCAGACTGATTATGTTCTTTGCAGCCAAGGACGGGAAGTTCCATACAGCCAGTAAAAATAAGACCTGGAGCTGACTGTGGCTCAGATCATGAGCTCCTTATTGCAAAATTCAGGTTTAAACTGAAGAAAGTGGGGAACACCACTAGGCAATTCAGGTGTGATCTAAATAAATCCCTTACAATTACACAGTGGAGGTAATGAATAAATTCAAGTGATTAAATCTGATAGAGTGCCTGAAGAACTATAGATGGGAAGTTTACAACATTGTACAGGAGGCAGAGACTAAAACCACCCCAAAGAAAAAAGAAATGCCATGAAGGCAAGGTTGTCTGAGGAGGCTTTACAAATAGGTGAGCAAAGAAGAGAAGCAGAAGGCAATGGAGAAAGGGAAAGATATACCCAACTGAATGCAGAATTCCAAAGAATAGCAAGGAAAGACAAAAAGGCCTTCTTAATGAACAATGCTAAGAAATAGAGGAGAACAATAGAATGGGTAAGACTAGCGATCTCTTCAAGAAAATTAGAGATACTAAGGGAACATCTCATGCAAGGATGGGCATGATAAAGGACAGATAATGGTAAGGACCTAACAGAAGCAGAAGACATTAAGAGGTGGCAGCAAGTATACACAGAAGAATTATACATAAAAGGACTTAATGCCCCAGATAACCGTGATAGTGTGATCACTCACTTAGAGATAGACAATCTTGGAGTGTGAAGTCAAGTGGGCCTTAGAAAGCATAACTACGAACAAAGCTAGTGGACATGACAGAATCCCAGCTGAGCTATTTAAAATCCCCAAAGATGATGCTGTTACAGTGCTGCACTCAGTATGCCAGCAAATTTGGAAAACTCAGAAGTGACCACAAAACTGGGAAAGGTTTTCATTACAATTCCAAAGAAGGGCAATGTCAGAGAATGTTCAAACTACCGTACAATTGCGATCATTTCACATGCGACAGTTAGAACCAGACATGAAACAACTGACTGGTTCAAAGTTTGGAAAGGAGTATGACAAGGCTGTATGTTGTCACAGTGCTTATTTAACTGTTATGCAGAGTACATCATCTGAAATGCCAGGCTGGATGATTCACAAATTGGAATCAAGATTGCCAGGAGAAATAACAACAACCTCA